ACTTTTTATTTCATAAATTAGTCTGTCCATATGCAGTGTTGATTTTAGTATCAATGATTTGTTCTTGTTGTTCAGTATTGATTGTTGGTAGATCATATATTGGACCAATAACTGCTGCTTCTCCTCCTCCTTTTACTGGAGTTTTATTTTGTATTGTAATCCCTCTCTTTTTCATTATTAGACATACAATGATACTAGTAATTATTGCAGTAATGAGTCCAGTTAATAGACCAGTGATAGGTACAGCAATAGCAACTGTATGTGTGCAATAGATTAGATACACTTAATGTATTAACTAACCACTAATTGATCCTACATCTGTTGCTTGTGGAGTCCCTGTTGTATTGCATGAAGCATAACCTAATGATAATATGTTCACTGTATGTATGCATTAATTATTATAACTTACTCTCAATATAACTGCTTATTATTGTTTCAGTTGTTGTAATTAATTGTGTTTCTGTGATTGTTGGAATTGCTGTCATAGTTGAACTTTTATCTTGTGTTGTGATATATTCAGTAGTACTCATCATAATGTTAGTGATACTTGATGTAGTAGTGGTTATACTGACTATAGTAATAATATGTATCTAATCTATACATTATATTAGGTACTGATGCTATATACCATTAACAGTGACTGATGGTCCATATCCAATAACATTAACAGGTATGATAGTAACAGTGTAGTATTCATTAATAGGAGATAGTCCAGTAATAGTAGTATTAGTATCTGTTACATTATAACTGTGCACAGAACAACTATTAATACAAATTGTTGTAATGTATACATTAATAATGTAATACTCAATAGGAGGATGTAATGTTGTAGTATCCTAATAAGATTTATTATTATCATAGATAATAATAATTTTAACATACTTGATTCCACCATATTGTAATACTATCAGATGATATCTGATACCAACTAATATCAACAACTTGAGCTGGTACTATAAGAAATACAATGAGTGTGTGTGTGTATAGTTCTTACCGTTCCATATATACTGTATTAATGAT